AATATATCATAAGTTTGATTTAGTTATTTATACGCCAAGTGGGTATTTTTATATATGGATAAGAAGAGAGGAAAATTGGTGAGAAGTCAGCCCAGATATGTGGGATTTGCCCTGTAGGAGGTCAGCATCTCAAAACTTATTAATGTTTGCAAACTTAACATTAGGAAAACGCTCACGTACTATGCTTTACCATATGGTTAAAATAAGGCGCTATTAATTTTGTTATTATTTTAAATAACAAAATTGATAAAAAATGATCGAAAATATTATTAATTTTATCGGTTCTAATTACCGATATAAGTAAATACAGTAAAAAAATCCGGTAAAAAATAATATTTTCGATAAAGTGCTACCTAAAATATTATTTTTTTGACCGAATTTTTTCTACTACGTTTACCTATATAAGTAATTAGAACCGATAAAAATAATAATGATTTCAGTCATTTTTTACCGATTTTATTATTTAAAAAATTTTATTATTTAAAATAATAATAAAATCGATAACATTTTATTTTAATCATATATTAAATGCCGCACGGAATTTATTTATTAAAAGTACCTCCATTTTATAACACTTAAAAAATAGACAGCTGAAGTATACACATATAATGATTCCAAATTGACACGCGCTCCAGTTTAACAATATAAAACTCAGATACGCATCAACAGCAAAATCTAATCTAAACACAATTTTTAAAAGATGTTCACTTTTAAAACTGTTTGGGTGTATTATTATATTAATTAAAACTGGGTTGGAAGCCCATTACACATCAATCAAATGACTTCAATTTTGATGAAACATTTCACTAAAACTTTAAAAGTTAGGTCAAAATACACAAATGGTCCTTCAATTATAAAGCGTTACTTTATTAAGTCTCGTGACTATTAATAGATACAAAATGGTCCATTGACTGCATATGTTGTTTTGTTGAATCATTTGACTGTTAAAAGTTACAAAATGATCATTTGACGATTTACATGCTCCAAACTCTTATTTTTAGTTAAAAAATTTATGACAGCCTGAGTTGGACGTCAATCTATTGACTAAGATATGGTAGCCGCTTGAGATTTTGAGATGAGATTTTGTCATATCCTAGTCAGCAGGTTAACGTCCAACTCAGACCATCGTTAATTTTTTTATTAGAAAAGGAACGATTTGAAAAATATGAATAGTCGGGTGATCATTTTGTACTTTTAATAGCCTAAGGACTCAACAAAACAATACATATAGTCTAGAGATATTTTATAATTTTTAATAGTTGAGAGGCCCAACAAATAAATATTCTATACTCAGGGAACTATTTTTGTTTTTTACCCTAAAAATTAAGAAAATGTGAATTTATGAGTGTCCCTCCGTGATAAAGAGAAATATTGTTATTCTTAAAAGATTGAAGTTTGAATAATTGTATTTGTAGGCGGCATGTGTATCTATTGCCAATAACTTAAAGCTTTTTTAAACAAATATTAATTTGTAATTACTCTCATTATTCAACAAAAATATTAATTCAGATTTTTTCAAGAAAACCAAAATTGAATAATAGATTTTTAACGAAACTGACATATAATTTTATCATTGTATTCACTTGTGACATTATATTTTTGATAGAATTAAATTAAAATTAACAAAATGCAAGTTTAACATATACTAATATATAAAGTTATAATTTTTGAAGGGGCCTGTGAACAAATGGCCCCGTAGTTTAACCCCATCGAGATCCTGAAAGAGCTCCTGGAAATATTGACAATATGAAACCACAAATCATGGATGAAGCAGCATATGATATCACTTGTAATTAATAAATTGAGCTGATTCCATATTATAATAAAGAATTTGCGTCAGTGTAACTTGTATAAAGATGATTTGTTTGTCTGTTCGTGGTGGGTAGAGATTCTAATTTTGATGTTATCAAAAACCAATCATCAAATCTTCGAATATTGAATGGAAATTAATGACTGACGGAATAAATTTTAACGATGTCGTTTTCTAATGGTGTTACATATGGTTTATGTTGTAAATTTTAACGATATCGTTTTTGTGTGATATGTCATGTCATCAATCATTAGTTTTGTCATTATTTTATTCCTGATTTAACGATGAAGTGATATAATTAAATATACAATTAAAATTTAATATTATGATTAATAAAGTTAAAAGTTTAATAGTATGAACAAGTAAACGAACAAAATTAATAATATCTAAAATAGTTTTCTCTATAATTTATGATTTGCTTTTCTTTATATAATGGATGGACTAAGATAAAAGTTTAAAGTATAATATCTAAAATGGATGGACTACGAAGGTGATTCATTTACTTCGAAGGCATATGAAGAAATATAGGGAAAAATAAAGATCTTCACATGGCGTTCATTAACCTTGAGAAGACGTATGATAGCGTTCCTCGCGATACGATTTGGAAGACCTTGGAACGAGACGGATCCCAATTGCTTATATCCAGGCGATTCGTGATATGTACTGTATATCTACTACATACGTCAGGACTACAGTTGGCGACACCGAGGCATTCCCGGTGAAAATCGGACTCCACAAGGGGTCATCTCTTAGCCCTTACATCTTTGCCTTGATTATGGACGACATCTATTGTGCGACACCAGACGGTGTTCCATGGTGTATGCTTTTCGCTGACGACATTGTCCTAGTTGCTGAAACAAAAACTGAGCTCAATAGTAGACTGGCTACCTGGAAGACTGCTATGGAAAAAAAGGGTCTAAGGATCAATATTGAAAAGACAGAGTATTTATGTTCAAACTTAAGTGGGAACCAAAACGATGAAGATGTAGAAGTATGCATAGAAGGACACATTCTCCCCTCAAAGGATTATTTCAAGTACCTAGGGTCTATGATTCATAAAGATGGGGGTGTAGACGATGACGTTACACACCGTATAAAGGCGGGATGACTAAAGTGGAGGGCTGCTACTAGAGTTTTGTGTGATAATAAGGTGCCTCTAAAACTTAAGGGAAAATTTAATAGAATGACAATAAGACCAGCGCTGCTGTATGGATCAGAATGTTGGGCAATCAAGAAGGATTACGTAAGGAGGATGGAGGCTGTAGAAATAAGAATGTTTCGATGGGCATGTGGTAGAACTCTGTGGGACATGACATAAAACTCTGTAATTAGGATGTCATTGGGGGTGGTGCTTGTATCTGAAAAATTACGGGAGGGAAGACTACGGTGGTTTGGGCATGTACTTAGGCGACAACCGTCGGATACGGTCAGGAGGGTAGAGTCAATTACAGTCGATGGTGCCAGAAGGAGAGGACGACCAAGGAGGAAGTGGGTAGACTGCTTGAGATCGGATTTGAAAGATTTAACCCTTACAGAGGACATGACCTCTGATAGCAAAGTATGGAGACTTAAGACCATGGTGGCCGAGTAGTGTGGGTCACAACCATAGGGTGTAGCATCTCTGTCTTCTTTTTAATGCATTTGTAGTAATTACCATGATTTCTACTTTTTATATGTTTCTGTCATTGGAATTTATGAAGGCTTAGAATTAGGGTAGCGACGTAGTGTTGCCTTAGTTCAGGTTTTAACACATTTGACTTTATTTCTTCTCGTAGCTTGCCATCGTTGATGTCTGTGTATCATTCTCTTCGTGTTTCCTCTTTTTAAATTTAGCCGGGTCTTACGTTTCTGTCTATATGCAGAGATTTTTTACGCAGGGATTTATTAGCAGAGATTACTTTCCACTACAGACGCACATATGAATACTGCATATGAAGACTGTTCAACTATGTATTTATTTTTTTTATACATGTATTTTATTTTATCTTTATTTTAATTTTTTGACTACCGGAGGTCTTCCACGGAAGCTCCTCTTAACCTGGCGTTGGTGGCAGCCTACTACCCTATCTCCCCTTTACCCCATTGTAAATGGGAATAGGGTTTTGTTTTTGTTGTTGTTGTTGTATTAATCTATGGTGATTATAAGTGGTAGTATATATTTTAAAGACCTCAATGATTAACAATGAACGTTGAAATAACCATTATAATCTCTAATACTCGAACTTGAGACATTTGAAAATAACAATAATTCATTTAATAATTTAGTTAGTACATATATATATATACTTCTAATGGTCTTTTTAATAGTTAGATTACATTCCTGAAATAGGAAATGGGGTTTAATGATAAAATAAGTAATCGGATATGGCATTCTAAATTTTAGTGTAAACTACATGTTTAGTACATTAATTAATGTTACGTTTTAGTTTCGTTTTGAACATTTACCATTAATTTTTTAACAGTGATATTAATGTGTCATCATAAGATAATGTCACATCATCATTAAAAATACAATGTAAATAATCTTATTAATTTTTTAACGACGGATGACTAAAATAAAACGAAAACGTAATGTTAGACGTGATTTTAATAAATAATAGCTAAATGACCAAAACGGAACATAGACAATAGTTGAAGTGTTAAACGTGTAATTTACCATAAATTCTAATTCACCATGTCCGCCCCGGTGCCGGCGAGCGGCAGAAAGCAGAGGAGGGCCATCTTTCTTGCCAAAACAAGCAAGCCCATAAAGAAAAAGAACATGTGGTCCCTACAAAAAGAGAGGTGGCTGAGCAAGGATCGAGGCGAGAATCCGTATGGGCAATTGACACGTGGCATCCTGAATGTCAGGGTTGAATTTTATAGGTTGTAGCTGTACGTAGCTAGCCTCGCACCTCCCCCTCTCCACTAAATTTGTCCTGTATTTTATATATTGTATATACGGAAAGGTATACAGTTATAAATTAAGAAGAAAAAAAAGAGACAAGTTGCGAATTAAATGCACAAACTCCTTTACGCATTAGAAACATCCCTTTGTTCTCTGGTCTCTTCCCCCAACTTTTCCAAGAAAACTGCACTTGCTCTTGTCTCTCTCAATTTCAACCCTTTATCAAGAATCCATCTTTTGCTTTTTTCCTTTGTTCTTTCATCTTTTTCACAGCCTCTGTGTTTTCTTTTTCTTTCTCTTTTTTCCATTAAAAAAAAGATGACTGGGGGAATTAAGGAAGGTGATCAAAGTGTTGGCCTTGATATTCTTAAGCAAAAAATGGCCAACTTTGCCAAGGAAAGGGACTGGGATCAGTTCCACAGCCCTCGAAATCTCCTCTTGGCCCTGGTATGCTTATTTAGGGTATCTTAAACAAAGTTTCATGAAGAAGACTTCCCTTTTCTTTCTGGATTCTTAAGTTTGTCTTTGAATACTAGATATATAGTTACCATTTCTATGTGTATATGTTATTGTTTGTTGTACTCGTTGCTTTGATTTTCTATATGGGAAGGTAACGATTTGACCAACAAAAGTACAGCTTAAACCAGTTGGATTGTCATATATATATATATATATATATATATATATATATATTGCTTTATCATTAATCATTGTGATTGTTCCCTGAATCGCAAGACATGGTTTGCACCTCTGCAAGTTACCCTTTTTCTGCTCTTCTCTTATCACGTTGGCATTTTCCTTGATTTCCAAGTTAGGGTATGAAACCCTTTTTTTCAACTTGCAGAGTCAAACTTAAGAAACTGTCCCGGTAAAGTGGGGACAAAGGATTTAAAAGATGAATGATTCTTGTTTCACATTAATGGGTTAAACTCATGATTTCATGTAGGTGGGAGAAGTGGGAGAATTATCGGAGATATTTCAGTGGAAAGGGGAGGTACCAAAAGGGTTACCCGATTGGAAAGAGGAAGAGAAAGTTCACCTGGGGGAAGAACTATCTGATGTTCTGCTGTACCTGGTAAGGCTGTCCGATATCTGCGGCATTGATCTTGGGAAAGCTGCTCTGCGCAAAGTTGAACTCAATGCTATCAAGTACCCGGCTTCAAACACCAACAATGGCATTGCAGAGAGCGGTTGATCATCATCTATATCTATTTAAATGTTTAGTTTTTGCCAAGGAATCTGTATTAAATTTGGTTCATAGATCATAGCTGGTGGTGGTGGGGTGATTTCGGTGCATTTATTCCCATAGATTTTGTTACTGTTTTCAGCAGCTGAATCCAATCCTTTCTGACAGACATGTAAAGATATGTTTTAAAAATGTTTGCCTTCTTCTTTTCTGACGGCCAATGTGCTTTTGAGGCTTAAAGCGGCTTTTTCGTACGTATCAGGTATAAGTACGTAAAGCATGGTCTGCAGTAGATTAAACGTCTCGATGATGAACAAATCAAATATTATTACATTGAGAGTCTCAACAATTTGTCCACATCTCATGAACTAATGTCCTGGAATCACTTTATAGCCTTAAATCTGATAGTGTATTTAGTTTAGTATCAGGTGCCTTGCCTTGAGTTAATCTGTAAACAAACAGGGGATACAATAAAGTCCCTTTTTTTAAAAGGGAAAATGCGTTTGGATGATCATAAATGTCAGGAATGACGTACAAATACTCATTTAAATTAAATTCCAAATAAGATATAAACAAAAGAGTCGTTTTTTATTTACTTCATAATGATTAAGTGTTGAATGATTCAAATGCTGAATGATTCAGAGATTATGTATAAATAAGTTCTGAATGTGACATGCTGTTTGATAATGACTCTGAATCATTTAGAATGTACTTATGTGTTGAATCATTCAACATTATTTTACTGAATTAGTCAACACTGAACACTGAATTATTCAGAGATAAAAAATAAACACGCTAAATATTAAATGGTTCAACATTCAACGCTGAATAATTTTATTCAGAACCAAACAAACAACCCCTAAATCACGAAAGTTCATATAATCCAAGTCGGGAAAGCCTCCTAAATAGGAAAAGTGAAATCCGGACTTTATTCATCTAATTGATGGGCTTCTTAAGTCTAATAAAAGAAAAGCCAACAAAAGCTGTGACCCAAGCACAAACAATTGCTGAAACTGGCCTAACCCACCGAGGCCCCCATGGGAAGATCAAAACCGTTATTCATTTTTTTCACATGATCCAGGGATCTTTACTCTTGTCTGTTCCAACCTCCAACAACTAAAATATATTATTGTTGTTGGAATAAATGATCAAATTGATTGAGCAAGGTTTCTCATCAAGTTTTGTCTCAAAAATGTTTTAGTGCATAAAATTTTTCGTTAATAAAAATATGTATCTAATATTTCTAACGTTACACTTTTAAGTACTCGTACGCTAACCGTCATTAAAAATCCCTGTTAAAAGACATGTATCGCGTTCCGGTAATTTTTAGAATTTATTTAAAAATTAAAAAAAAACAAATTATTAATAAACAAATATATTATTTAAAAAAACTTTCATTAATCGATTGGCTGTTTTCAAGGTTGGTGGGAATGCCAAATTGTGTTACAATCATTTTGTTTATCATCAATTAGGATTACAATTAAATTTAGGGTTAGGGTTATGGTTAAGGATTTAAGGGTTTAAATATTTAGGGAATTTAGGTAATATCGAAGGTAATTACCGGTCAATATGTGGCGATGGTAGGTATGTCTCCTTTCGACAACGGAGATGGTGGCCGGAGATAACCGACGACGGCCAAAAATGAGCTTGAAATGATAGATTTTAGGGTTTTTGGTTATTTTGTAATTTTAGAAAACTTTGAAGTTTTTTATAAATAAATTAAGTTTTTTATTTTTCTTTTAAAAGACAATATTTTTATTTATAAAAAAATAAAAAATATAAAGGGCAAGCACCTAATAATATAATGTAAGAAACTCTAGGCACATGTTTTTAGCAAAAAAATCTTTAGACATTAAATCGTTTTTTTGAGACAATTTGGAGTTTGGATACTTATTTTTGTATTAACCCAAAAATAAATCGAAGATGATGGTCTTAGGGAGAATAGAATGAGAGAGAAAAGTATGCTTGATTCTTTCAACTTTCAAGTTAATTTATGTTTTATTTATACAGAAATTTCTATGTGCTGCTTTTGCTTGTTTTCTATTCTATAGATCTAGATGTAGTAAAAGCTGAATTTTAACCCATCAACTTGCGCTACATGTATCAATGAAACTGAGTTTACTAGGGAAGACAGTATATCGAATGTCATGGTGTGACCTGAAACTTTTACATGATTTGAAATTTTGAATCCAAACTCGATCAATATATGCATGTTGCAGATTAAAACGCATCAAATGTTATTTGAACTCGAAAAACTAAGTTTACATATATATCTGCAAGCTAACTTGAATCGATTTAATAAGCTAGCTACCAACGCTGATCCTACCAGAAACAGCCCAGCAGCCAAATTTCCACCCTTGACATAGCTCCCTTGGTCTCAATTTGGCTGAAGGGTTCCCATATTCATTGAAGAAGGCACAACTAAAACTATAAACAGTGGTTGTTTGAGCTATTTTCTCTATTGCTTGTTAATGAAGGGATGAAAGCTTTAGCCCAAGTCCTTAACTAGCTAAATGAATTTAGTTTGAGTATCTCATAATCTGGCCCTGGTAGGCTTGTAACTTTTTATGCCACTTGACAACGAAGTTCTATTTTGAGCCCTTCTTCTGCTACGACTTATTTTACTGAAGCTTTTGGGGGACCTCTTAGGGTCATAGTTTGGATTGTTAAATCACTTAACCGATGAAAATGCATTGAACTTTTTTGCCAATTATTTGATGTGGAGAGACACATAAACAGCATTTTTCATTAATATGAACTTCCAACTAGCGGATAGATCATTCTTCATGTTTGATTTACAGGGATTTTCATATACCGTGTGAATATCTTTAATATACAGAAATTTGGATCCTTGTATTTTCTTAAACATTGCAATGGTTAGACTTACAGACGAGTAAACTGGATCCTAAAATGTATCCATTAAATCCCATATGCCTTGGACTCGTGAACAAATAATTTCCTTCATGTCATGTAAAATGCATGCAAATATCATATGAGATGTATTATACTGCTTACATGGAGCACCCGTGTACATGTATTTATGCAGCATTTGCACCAATGAATGGACAAAATGCTTCGAACAGCTACGATACAGACTCTAGGAACCAGCCGTTTGACACCCAGAGATACTTTTCTGATAGTGGCTGAGAGTATGATGAAAGAAAGGGTATTAGGAAGTGATGACTGACATCAAAACCTTTTTAGCTGGTTCAGATCCGGACTACCCTTGAGCAGGGCTTGCCTGTTACATAAGAGTGCAAGGTTTTCACATTGAACTGCCGAATGTTGTATTGGTAAGCAATATGGATATTAAATTATGATTTTGCATGAGATTTTCTTTAAATATATACATTCTATTTTTGTTACAAAAGAGTTCTGAATATAAAGGAGATGTAGATATTGGATATGAATTCAGTGTTAATGGTGGATTCTGGAAATGCTTGCATGGGAATGACCAGAAACCGCATGATGCTCAGATTATTAAACAAAAGTTGAAAAGGTTGAAAAGGATTATTCAATTGTGTTAGATCAACTCTAATAAACCAAGATTTCATTTTTTTCCCATTAAAATCCTCTGAAGTATAGCCTTTCGAACCGAATTCAAAAATTTAAGAATAGAGTTCAAAATTTTATTTTTTTTTTAAATAATTAGTACATAATTTTTTTCTTTTTTTCTTTTTTCCTTAACACATTAATCTAAATTTAATGATTTTCTCAAAATAATGGGATATACTTACCCGATATAGTGCATCCGCCCCCCTGTTTCGAACTGACCAAGAAAAAAAAAACAAGATTCTGCTGACAATAACCCTCACATAATAATAATAAAAAAAACTATAATAATTCTCTTCTTAATCCAACAATTCCCTTTAACGTCCAAATTAAGGGCGAAAGGGAAACAAGTACACATTCCCATGGCAGTATCCCATTTACCCATTCTGATCATCATCTTCAACCATATTTACTTTCATCCTATACATGCACTTGGCAATGGGCAAAACCGCATCTTTAAAACACACAGGCAGGCACCATGCAGCTTGAAAAGAAGCTCAACCCTCTCTTCTGCGTTAAGAAAGAGACAAAGGGTTTAAACACATTAATTGGTGATTATAAAAGAAATGCATCAATGGGATCTCAAATCTTCAACTTTAACAAGATAAATGGGTGAAAGTGGAGATTACCTTTCTGGGTTTTGAGTAAAGCAGACGTGGGGAAATTTTATAGAGGTCTTGATCAACGGGTTTGGATGTTGGGCGGTGGTGGTGCATAGGAGTGTGACTTGGTGGTGGTTCCTTCACGTCATTCATCTCCCACCTTTGCCTTTTTCCGTCTTTCACATTCGACCCTCCCTACTTTTTTCTGCAAAATTTTTCATTCACCATTATTACCAGAAACAACCCATGTACAGTCATTAGATCAATGCATTTATAACGAAAGCTATGATTTCAAATTCTAGCCAAGTCTCATGGTTGTTCGTAGTTCTTTCATTTATGAGCATGCCAATGTCTTTTTCTCACTTTATTTTGGTGAGCTTCTTCCTTGAATATGATAATCTTAAACAAAATAACGCAAAGTAAACCCCTTTACATGGAATTTTCTTTTACCATGAACATCTCAATGCATATGTTAGAATTGGCTCCTTGTATGGTGTTCCTACAGCCCAAACCCCTCATCAACAAAAACAACGCACGTACACAAACAAAACATTAAATTGGTGAGCTTGGAGAATGGTAATCATAAAGGAAGAAAGTGGTATGCTTTACTTACATCCATACTGTTAGAGGGAGAAAGAGACGAGTGTTAGAATTAGAATCTGTTGGAGATTGACTATACTTTCCAAGGAATTCCAGCAATTTAAAAGGGGGAGATGGAGTGTTATGTAATACAAAGGAATAGGGTAAAGGAGGGGGCTATGAATATTGGGGGGGTCCAAAGCAATAAAACTTCTGTTGGGTAAAAGGAAAAGAAACTCAGGGTAGCAGACAAAAGAACAGAGGTAAGGTGAAAACCAGTAGAACACGGTTAAAAACTTTGCTTTAATCAGGTTGCAGACACCCTAGTTTGTCGCTGATCAAAATGTATATTCCAATGCTCGAAAGCTATTCAATAAAGGGTTGTGAAGAAAGATTAGTTTTAGTATAGTTGAATAAAGGGTAGTCAACATGGTTCAAAAAGTTTAAAATTTAAATCAACTCAACTCGATAGTTTATAAGTTTAAAATTTTTAAACTCAAATCGAAATTAATAATTAAAGCTTGACTTGACCTTAAAAAAACTTCAAGCCAAACATTCTTAATTTAAGCTCGATTGAAAAGTTAAATTCGAGTTCAAACTTAAACCTTAACTATCTGAAATACTTATATAATATTTTAAAAAACAACGTATAAATGATAATATTATTGATAAAATTGGATTTTTTTGTACTTGGTGGACACACGTACATACATATATATAGATAGATAGATAGATAGATAGATAGATAGATAGATAGATAGATAGATAGATAGATAGATAGATAGATAAAGTGTTACAAGTTTTCCTCTTTTACACATCTTTAAAACTTTATAAAAGATCTTTCGAACATGGATCTAATGTCTCATGTCTGATTCATGGGAAAAAAAGTAAAACAGAAATGGGGAAGGAGCAAGGGTTAACAAAGAGATTGTTAATGTTTGTTTGCAATGCAAAACACAAAGCTAAATGCAGAGACGTTGAAAAAAGAGCATAATATATGGGGCATGCATGAATCACTTTAATTTCATCATTGCATTTATGCTACAGTCATCATGATTCTTACGAACTGTAAACATTCATGTGCAAATACTTGAAAACCTCCCCAAGGTATTCACATCTTTCTTTTATTTATTCATTTTGGTTGAAACTATGGACTAACAATACGAGTTCTACATTTCAGGTTCCTCCTCACCTGTACACTGCCTTCATATCTATCAATAGAGAAGAGTAACATAAGAACAATGCCAGCCCAATAAAGTTATGGTTGATGCTCCCACCGGAAATATTAATATTTTTTAATATTTATGGTATAGAATTACTTAAAATGTTATTTTTTTACCAGAAACATTAATATCAGAAATATTTATTTTAGGTAGCGAAATTAACATTTCCGTAGAAAAAGTAAAATTAACATTTTCGATAAAAAAAATATTTCCGGTAACGCCTTTTCTTAACCTTATATTAAGATGTCGTACATCATAACTACCGCTCTTTGATTGCTACTGAAATCTGAATTTTGTAATGTGCCTATGACCACCCAACTATGGGGTTGGTATCGAAATGACCATCATTTTCAAATTTGTGTCAATTTGACCATTAAACTATTTAAATAGGTTCAATATAAACACTAGCCGTTAAAATCTAATGGAGGGGTGATGTTACAGTTAGCAGAAATTTATATAACCACACATTTGATCCTCAATACTTGTATATTCTATCAATTTAGTCCTAATTTTAATTTAATTCACAAAATTAATTCTTCAATTAGGATGAGTCATGTGTCAATCAATTATTGAAACATATTTTAATAGTTACATGCGACACTACCTATTTAAAGGGAAAACAAACATAATTAAAATATTTCTGCCAAGAGAAATTGATATTGGGACCTTAGGCACAAGATGGGCACACCTCAACCATTGAGGCAAGCCTAATATTCATTACTTTTTTGACAAACCTTTAATATATCTTGTTTTAAATTATATATAAATAATAATAATATTTTAATAAATAAATTATATGATAAACTACTTGAATGATCACCTAAATAATATTCTAATAAATAAATTATTAGTTAATGAAAGGCTTAAAAATAAAAATGAATTTAAAATTTTTATATTTTAAAATTAAATTATTTTTATAATTATTTTAAATAAGTTTAAATTATATATTATTTTTTCTTTCTTATCGTTATTCATTTATCATTAAAAATAATATATAATTTAAATTTGTTTAAAGGTAATTATTTTTAAATTATTTTTAAATGATAAATGAATAATAAACATCGTAAGAAAAAAATAATATATAATTTTAATTTGTTTTAAAATAATTATTTTATAATTATTTTTAAATGAATGAATAACAAACATTGTAAGAAAGAAAAAATAATATATAATTTAAAATTTTTTAAAAATAATTATTTTAAAATTATTTTTAAATGATAAATGAATAAAAACGTTGTAATAAATAATATATATATAATTTAATTTTTAAAATATAAAAAATTTAATTTTTAAAATATAAAAATTTTAATTTTTTTAACCTTGTATTAACTAATAATTTATTTATTAAAATATTATTTAGGTAATCATTCAATTAGTTTATCCTATAATTTATTTATTAAAATATTATTATTTTTAATGTATATTTAAAACAAGATACATATAAGATTTGACAAACAAATAACAAATATTAGCTTGCTTTAATGGATGAGGCATGCCCTTCTTGTTCCCATGGTCTTAGGTTTGATTCCTCTTAACAGTAAAATTTTACTTATGCTTGTTTTCCCTTTAAACCTTTAAACAAATGGTAGCATGGGTTAGTGGATGTGTAACTATTAAAATATGTCTCACTAATCAATTGACACGTGACACATCCTGATTAGAAAATTAATATTTAGAATTAAATTAAAATTAGAATTAAATTGATAGAATATAAAAGTATTGAGGATCAAATATAAATTTATGTAAACTGCCATGTCACCCCTTCGTTAGATTTTAAGTTTTTAACGGCTAGTGGCTATATCAAACCCATTTAAATAGTTCGGTGGTCATATTGATATAAATTTAAAATGATGGTTATTTCGATATCGACCCCATAATTGGATGGTCATCCAAATAGTTTACCCTTTTAAAAAACGTAGCGTTAGGCTTTTATAGACGTAGAATTAAACGCCACAAAAATTATAGGTGCAACTCCCCCCCCCCCCCCACACATGAAACTTCCTAAATTGTAAACGTTTTCATTTTTTTAAATAATTTAAGATAATGCATACTTTGTAAATATAATTGTATAAACTCATATGTGTTATGGAATATAATATTTTTCTTTGTTATAAAAATTATTTAACTTATGCACGAACTGGATGATTTAAGTAATTAAGAGATTTGTTATTATCTCTTGAGACTCTAGATTCGAGCATCGCATATGTCAGTGATATGAGTATTTATTATCAAATGATTTAAAGTCTTTGAATATAAATTACATTGTATTTAACCCAAAATTTATATAAAAAAAAACTATTTAATTTATACAACATTATGATTGACAGAAATAAATTATATTATTGATAATCTAATCTTGTATCATACGATACTTCTCTCGCCATGAATAAAACCAAAAGTTGGATCGAATTAACAAAACCATAAAAGATAAAACTTCTCTGAAATATTAGGCTGAGTTAGGGCACTATTTTTCGTTGATGTATTTCGAGATTAGAAGGAGCGACGCGTTTTGTTATAATTAGTGATAGTTATGTCTTTGCATTTTTTAAAATTGAATTTTTTATTTTTATTTTATTATTTTATTTGTTATTTTATATAAATAATAGAATTAATATGCATATTTGATATTATCATTTTTTTTGAAAAAAATTGTATAAATCCACCCTATGTTAAGATTAAATCTTGAGTCTATTCCTGTCCCAAAATAAGGAAAGAACAAGAAGTCTTCCTCTCAAGCACTCCACAGTTCTCCACCTTCTTCTCCCTCCATCTTCTTTACAATAAACATAAAAATCAGCTATAAGATTATAAATCGGGTATGCAAATAACAAGAAAAACTATATAAATAAGAAGAGCCCATCTTTATTTCATCTGCATTGTGTACAAAGAACTTTATCCTATCAGTCAGAACTCTTGTAATGAGCTTGATTCTTGATTGTTAAACACTAAAATCTTACCTTTATTTTAGTAACCAACAACAATTCAGACTTCACTCAGCACTGTTTACTAAGCAACTTTGTACATCTACTACAATATTTTTCTCTTTGGGTAGAAGAATCTTTGCAAACGACTAAAACAAAAGAGTCAGACTTCACAGCCAGTGGTGGAAATCCAAGGGAAAGGCTTGGACTCTTTTATCATTTCCTCAGTTTGATTTATATGTTCATCCACCAAACCAGAATATTTGACATTGTATTTTTCATTACTGTAACTTTCAACACTATTTTTTTTATCATTATTCAAATTATTTATATTTTTTCATTACAGTAAAAACATATTAAAAAGAATTAATAAATTAATACATGTGTCAATGAATTCTTGATGGGACACCAAAGGAGACTCCAACAGAGGGCAGAATTCCATTCATCTATTCCATGCCTTACTTCTATTCCTTCCCATGGGGATGGACTGAGATCAGCTAAAAATATCAAACAATAACATGTTTTAAATGTTTTATTGAAAAATATTTTTATCTCTTCTTGAATTTATTTTTCCATAAAATTTTAAAAATTCACTTCTAGTCTCCAAACCATTTTATTTACGCTCCTACCCATGCTTCCACCTTTATTCTACCCAACTAGAACCACCATTAAATTAAATAATACCATTCCCATTGAGGAACCAACGGTAAACCGCCAGGGCCAAAGCTAAACCACGTCAGCCCTGATGAGAAGTAAACGTAACCAGAAGCTTCGTTGTCTTGTTCAGATAATACTAGTGCTAATACTAACAAATTATTTACTAAAATTTAAGAGATTAAAAACGCAGGTGATTTTCATTTAAGAGCAACTGACACCTGGAGGTTCACGAAGAACAGTATCAAAACACCAAAAGTCTCGCTATTTCCTACCGGCTACAAACCCATTTTTTTACCGACAAGGTAGGGTACCCCACCCGTCACAGAGAAATTAAAGCTGAGGAAAATATATCAAAAGATCATACGACATCTAAACCCTACACGTCAGCGCACTTCTTAGCCGGGGAGCAGATAAGCCAAACGTAGCCATATGGATCCTTCACCTTGCCCACGCGACCACCATCGCAAGCGCCGTCCTCCTCAGTTATCTCACTCTCTGCAACTCCACCAGCGCTCACGGCCTTGGCAACAGCAGTTTCGACGTCCTCGGTCTCGAGGCAGAGCACACATCCGCCACCCTCGGTTTTCACCCTGCTTATTTGAAAACACGCCAAAAGCCAGACGAGTCATTTTTGACATTGTTTTCGCGAAATACAAAAGGAAAAAAAAACTGTTGGAGCCAAACAGCATGTATAGTATAAAATATCAACAAGATTAAATCAAGAAAAAATAACATAATATCTCGCAACCATATTCAAATTTCAGCCATACATATCTAAGAAACAGGAGCCCTAAATAAAGGAACCGCAAAAGCAGGAGTCAATTTGTTTGATAACAAACCAAACAATGAGAAATGTGTACAGTGAGTTTCCTACCAAACAAGAAACGATCCAAACAAGCTACCTTACTCACAGCTTAAACTAAACCTAACAAAGAGATTATTATTCAACAATGACCGAACGTAAACGGTCACAATGGAAAAATAGCTGAAAAGAAAAGAGATCTTAAAGAAAACCCGTATCGATAGACTTTCATAATCGAAGATTACCGTAAAAGAAAATGTACAAAAAGTAAAAAAAACAATCAAATATTAAAAACTAGAGAGGAGGGACGAGCGTACGGAGTAGAGTTTTCAACAATATCAGAAACGAGAATGGTAGAGCCGGCTAGCTCAAGTTGAGCGGAGAGGATGTGAGGGAGCTCCTGCTCGGCCTTGCGCTTAGGGTGAACAGTATGGCCAACCTCAACGGCGCCGAAAGCGGATTTGTAGAACTGCACCGCATCAACAGCCTTCGGTGCCTCCACCATCAGCTGAGGTTTCAACGCCGTGAATTTCACAGCCGCTACCTTCTCGGCTCCTCCGTTCTGGACCTCCTCCTGTGCCATTGATGAAGCTTAAAAAAAACAGCCTTCCGCAGAGAAAACCAAAAACCTAGGAAAGAGAAAACGACAACAGAAACTCAAAACAGGAGGGCAGAGAGTGCAATGAAGGAGGTGAAGACACAGGGCGTTGGGTGTAGTTAAGAAGCGCGGATCAGGAACCGTTTAAGGATAAGATTTATATTTTCTAAAATACTTGAGATTCCCATTTTGTCCTCTTGTTCATTGTTTAGAATTTTTGAAGACCAAAAGGCCCTTGGCTTGTCATGTACTCAAGCTCATTGTTAGATTTATGTAGTGAATATTATTGAGCAGCGAACAACCTTTTACTTTTTACAGTAATAAAAGTTCGTGGTGCATACGATCATAATCATGGACGGATATAAAAATTAAAAAATAAGAGTTCAAAATATTAATATTTATATTCTAAATATTTTGGATATATAATTTTTTTATTAATAAATTAAATTTAATTTAATATTTTTTTTCAAAATAATAGTGTGCAGTGGCTACACTAAAAAAACCACATACATCCACCCCTAGCCATAACTAGCGAAATTGGCCTAGTATAGTTTAAGGGTTTTTTTAAATTTAATCCAATAAAATAAAGTAAAATATTATTCTGAGATCTATATCATTCTATATAATAATTTGGAATTCGTTGTTGAGTTCTAAAAATAAATTTTTAACTTTTTTTTTACATCAATGGGATAAATTTTAATAAAATTTATATTTTATTAAAATTCGTCATATCAAAAATGATAAATTTAGATAAAAAAAAAATATTTTTCATTAGAACTAATTACTTGACACGACAAGTTTCAACATCATTATAACAATTGTCCTATTTTCTCAAATAAAAAATTAGATGCCATAATTGACTAAATAAAAAACCCGCTTGCCCTAATGGGCCAAAAAAACTGTCATAACAACGTTTGGGCTTTTGGGAAAAACACTGATTTTGTCAAACTTAGCCCGAGTTTGAAAAATAAATACTACAACAAATAACCATTAAATAAAGATAGAATCTCAACGTCGTGGACATATTAATAGTATCAATATTAAATATGTTAAACTACTTTCATCAATCCGTCATAGTTCAGCCGGTAGAACGCATGTCTTTTAATCATGTGGTCGTTTGTGGGATCGATTTCCACATATTGCCTTGATAACCCCTTAAAATGAATCCCTGTGTTTGACTCCACTACCTAAATTATTTTCTTGATGATCACCCCCAGGCCTCAAGGTGTTTAGTAATTGATTAAGCCGGTTACACTATTATCCAAAAAATGTCCACGATTCCCACATCTTTATCTTCAAACAAAGTTTTCATTGTTTCATAATTCTTTGAGACCAGAGGTTCAGATGGAAGGAATTTTCCATTGACATGCATGCATTTTTGTATGTCATAGAAAGCATTTTCCAAGGGTTTTGTATGATCATAAAAAGAAACACGTTTGTAGCCCGAATCAAATCAGCTAAACAATGATGAAGATTGACAATATCCAGTTAACAATGGGGGATTACCATGTGTGGAAAGGTCCCACACTTCATAGCCATAGCCATTGTTATAATAAACATAAGGATCAGCCATGAACTTTGGTAATGATTCCAATGCTGTGAGAAGCAGAAGCAAACACAGCAAGGATTGCTTCAATAATTTACGATACCTCCCCCCCCCCACTAAACCATCCTCCTTTTCTTTTCCTTTGTAAAGCCAAATACGGTGCATGAATGAAACTCCAACCATATAGGATTTGGGCACTATGCCTTTCTCAAGGGGTGGGTGGCTCACCTTGGCCTCTTTAGGGTCGCCCCCACATTGGCCTACCTAAGCTGTCTTCCTCGTGCCACCCTTGTTCTTCCCCAACCTTCTTTTAATCTATCAATTAGATAAAGGAAGCAGAGTTGAAATTACCCCCCAAAGTGATCCAAATTTGTTGTCGACGCTTGGTTTGTACTAGTTTTCTTTGCTTTGAATATTAAGAATTGTTTAGTTCTAAGATAACAAAATATGTACTGTTTCAATCTGGGACAAGACAAGATGAGATTGAAGTTTTAACTAATTGCTCTTCATTAGTACTGTTGAAGAATCGGGCAAAGATAACGAAAGAACACAAGAATTTTTAACGAGGTTCGGCAATGTGCTTACGTCCTCGGTGCCTAGACGGCGCTAGAAGTTTTATTCAATGTCTCATAGGTTTATGTTACATCTCTATTTATAATAAAAAACCTGATACATAATTACATAATTAACCTTGTACTGTATATTTATGAGCCATACCTATCAAGTACTTTAATAAACAATTAAACTTTTAAACGTATATAAAAGATGAACCTAATGTAGGACATTTTCATCAACTGTTCCCTACCTGTAAATCATATTTAAAAAAGGGTAAGCAATGAGCACTTCGACACTTCAAACCAGCGAGTTTAGTTGGTTACTTTGTAGTTCTACGTAACTCTAACAATATTAATTATTATTATTATTTTATCAATAAAATCCAAAGTTCCATTTTCGTTTTCTATAAAAGGGTTTGTAGTTTGTTACTCTGGAAAAATATATGGAATTCATTGTGATATTTTTAATAACTATCATTATATAAAAGGGTTTTAGTAAACGCATTGGCCTTACCCATTTCTCATTTGCTGATGATTTACTAATCTTCTGTAAGGGCACTAAGGACCCTATCATTGGGGTTAAATTTGTTTTTGATACTTTTTATGAATTCTCTGGTTTGAAATTAAATGCTTCGAAGTGTGACCTGTTTTCTGCTAGTATTCCTATCTCAACTCTTGAGGACATTAGTCTAATTACTGGATTTAAAATTGACAGGCTGCCAATAAGGTATTTGGGCATTCCTCTGGTTACTAAGAAAATTACTGAAAATGATTGCTCTTCTCTTATTGATGCCATTAAATCTCGGTTACATCTTTGGTCTGGTAAATCACTAAGTTATGCGGGAAGATTAGAGTTTGTCCGTGCTGTCTTATATAGTATTACTAATTACTGGTGCAGGCAGCTTTTCCTCTCTTCTGTCCTGAAGAAAATTGATCAATTATGTTCCAGGTTCTTTTGGAAAGGGGCTGATAAATCAGTTGCTGGTGCAAGAGTCAACTGGAAACATATTTGCCGGCCTAAAACAGAGGGTGGTCTGGGTCTCAAAGATCTGAAAATTTGGAACAAAGCTTGCATGATGAGTCTAATCAAGAATATCCTCGCTGGAGAAGGATCTCTGTGGGTCGCGTGGTTAAAGAGCTATATGTTCTACTCCAACGATTTTTGGTATGTCCCTGTTAAAACCAATATGAGATGAGCTGGAGCTTAAAGCAAATTTTGAAACTTAGGATTGAAGCTTACTCTGCTATGCCTTTAGTTTCCAAGCAAGTTAAAGATTTATGGAATGATATCAGGGAGAAGAATCCAAAAATTCGTTGGCATGCCCTGATCTGGTTTCCTCTTCTTATTCCCAAGCACAGTCTCATAGCGTGGATGGCCCTGCTTGATAGGCTCCCCACCAAAGAGAGGTTGCACCAAATAGGGATAGCTAAAGATTTTATATGTTTATCGGGTGTGCCGAATTGGGTTGGAGGTTAATTGAATGAAATGCAAAACACTCAAGCATCTTTGACCAAATATGCAAGTGAGAGTGAATGAGGTCATATTATATATGTTCAACAACATAGCCAAGTTGAGTTAATGAAAATAATGATGACGTCAAATACCAGAAGTTTATCATTGTATTTAGAATGTGCATCTCAAAGTGAAGTGATGTTCAATACACTTCCTCTTTAAGATGCAAACGAAAACGAAGACTAAATCGATCAAGGCGAACGACCTCGACAAGTCCCGCGTCATTATCATTTGACGACTATTTGGCATCATCAAGAACTAAGAAAATATAAATAAATTTAAGTTTGTATTAGTTTGTAATAAACTTGCTTATTTAAGTTTTTTTATATTATTTATTTATTTTTTATATATATTTTAAAAATAAATCCAATGAAACTAGTTATTTCAACGTGATGAGTTTCATTGGAAATAATAAAATATTAACCCACATAGGATCCACATACCTAAACCATTAAAAAATTCTATCTAGAAGAATTCGTCAGGTGACGTCACCTCTAGATTCACCTTATCAAATACCGTAGATCTTAAAATAAACTTTAATATACCCTATTAAGCTAAATAAATAAAATATTTGTCCTATCGGAAAAAACCGTTGTTGACGTAAGTTAACTTACCGATTAACTTATATTATTATCTTAAAATTTTAAAAGTATTAGTTTTAAATTTTCTTAATCAGAAGCATTGAACAATAATATTTTATAAAATAATGAAAATGATGGCAAACCTTAATGATTCTGTCAGCTTCTCTGGAAATTTATTTATCGATGAAAAATAAAATAAAGGCAAAAGTGCATAAATTGCTTCATATCTCCGCTTTTAAGTATTTTAATTAATAATTCTATATCCAAACTAATGTTAGTTAAAACTTAGACCAACTCCCTTCATCAACCTTTAATTTTTCTTAGATAGGAAGGTGAACCAAACCTTATGAAATAAAGACCGTCAACCGCTGTGGTCACCATCACCATCGGAGCTCAAACCCTCCTCCCCGATCGTGGACGTTGCAAAGCTTTATAAAGATGAGTTATTGTTCAGTGAGATTAACAGTATATATATATATATATATATTAATTAATTAATATAGAAAGAGACATGGATGACTTAAGAAAGGTGGTCGAGATAATCATCTCCTAAAAGTTTAATATTTTTATATAACTTATATATTTCTTTTATATTTTTTAACAATAATTTTTTTTTTTAAATTTTATAAATTCATCCTTTAAAATTTTATAACTAACATAAAATTATATGTTTGTAATTGAAAAGGAGACAATACTCAACTTTTCTGGATCGCTATCAATTCATTTAGAGGGTAATGGTTGGATTCTAGGATGTGTGCTTAATAATTAGGATCAAATGCTGGTACAGCTTGGATAATCAATGTCTTTGTGGCATTTTTTTCCATCTGTATAAGATTTGATCCTTGTCCTCATTCTGCAAGAAATTATATCCATATATTGATTCTGCATAGGATTATATCCCCGTCCTAATTCTGTATGAGATTATATCCATGTCATC